TTACACTCTGCCTTCTCTCACTGGGCCTCTTACATGCTGCCCCTCACTGGGCCACACCCAGCCTGCCCTGCTCCTTTGAGTGACCACGTAGACCATCAGGTATGCCTACTCACACTCCTTGGCTGGCTGGTACACAGCCTCTTGGGCCCTCTCGCAACCCTCATCTGACTGGTGAGCAGCCAATTCAACTTGCCCTGGGTGGAGCTCTGGCCCAAGCCCCTCTCTGGGTAACTTGTTACTTTCACTCCCTCCTTAGGGTCAACTACTTGCCCTTTTGACCCAAACTCAGCCTCACCACATCTAAGGGCTTACCAGAGTCTCTCTCTGACCCAGCACTAGGCCTCACCACATCTGAGGACTTACCGGACTTACCCAGCTGTGGCCCCAGGCATCCATAGACTTTCCTTGGCCTAACTGCCCCCTCCCTGGGGCTTCAGCTCATGCCCTCCTGCTAGGGCCTTTCAACTATGCCCCATCACCAGGGCCTTCCACATATGCTGTGCTCGCTGGGGCCTCTGGGGTCTTGTACCTCATGGGGCTCAGGTGTGTGGAGATGTACCTGGCCCCCATACCTGTCCCTGGGTCTGGGTAACCCACCAGGATGTGGAGGCTGGGGAGGTAGCTGGCCTGGCATTTCTGGGGGACTGTTCTGCCACAGCCAGCCCCACTAGACCACCCTTCCCCAGCAGGGTGCAGTTTTTGGTCTTACCCAGGACCATGAAGGCCTACCTGCTCTGATCTCCTTCCTACAGGGCTACATGTTGTTTCAGGGCTGCTAGTGGCTGCCTCTCACCCAGAGGCTGAGTTTCAATCTCCTTCATTCAAGCCTGCTGTCTCGCTGGGCCTTTCTTCTCCTAGACAGTGATGTCTCCCCCATCAAGGGGACCTTCAGCCTCCTTAGGCTCTGGCCCTGCCTCCAGGCCAGTCAGGGTGCCAGATGGCCCATCATGGCCCAGACCTGCCCCTTGCATTGGGCATCATTGCCCTTTGGCCTTCTGGCCTGGCCCTCTTGCACTGACTAGTCAGGGTGTTCTGGTCCCAGTATTGCATCAGCTGACCTCCCTAGGCAACAGGAATTCCCTTCTGGGCCCCACCATACAGCCCTCTCACACTGGGCTTGCTTAGAGCCCCCAGGATCTTAATAATATGGCTGTATTCTCAACTGGGCTCAGCTGAGCCCCAGGCCTCACCCCTGCCTGTTCTAAGTCAGGGGATTACCTAGCTCCTGTGTAGGCTGACTGACTATAAAGCTCTTCCCAGGCTGGGCCAAACTCTCTTTGGGCCCAAAGCCTTCTCTCTGGGGCTTGAGGCCTCACTGGGCCCCTAGGGACCTCCTACGATCCCCATAGTGCTCCCTTACCCCCAGGTGTTGTAAGCAGCAGCTCAGCCAGGTGTAGTTGTTCAGCTGCTTGAGACAGACTGCTGACTCTGTCCTGTGGGCCTGGATCTAAAATGGCCATCTCATCAGGGCTGGCCCGCACCTGCTGGCTGCCTGCTCTCAGCCTTAAAGGTGTACTGCCACACTCATGTAATTATAATGATAAAACACTCCAGAAGAATGAAAGGTTAATCTGAACTGAACAAACAGTATTTTAACTGAAGGGAAAGTTAAATGAGTGCAAATAGTATCTAAGGCACTCTTTTTCTACAAGCAAAAATCAATGGGTGCATATACATAAGCACAGATTCATAGATTCATAGATGTTAGGGTCGGAAGGGACCTCAATAGATCATCGAGTCCGACCCCCTGCATAAGCAGGAAAGAGT